GTTGAAATGAATGGCATAAACTCTTTCATGTAAGTTCTGAGAGGTAAAACATGAATGAGTTGCAGCAGTAGGAACGATAGGCAGAAGACAAGGGTTGATATAGGTTTTGTGGATATAAAGGCACACAAGGGCAGTGAACAGGTGGTAGGCATTGCAGATGAAGCAAATTTCACAAAGGGCCATAGGGGCATGTGAGAGATGCTGAGAAACTTATTCTAAATGGAATGGAGGATATTTGACAAGGATTAGTGGTGACATGGAGAGAGCAACTTGAGTGGGATAAGGTTACAGAGAACACAATTTTTTTGTGTATTGTACTAGGATTGAACCCGGTGGCATGAGTACCTTATCACTGACCTACATCCCCAGCCCCTTTCATTTTTTAAACCATGAGACAGGGTGTCATTAAGTTGCCAAGGTTGGCCTTGGACTTGCAATTCTCCTGCCTCAGCCTCCTACATTTCTAGAAAAAAATAGACATGCACTCAGTATCCAGGCAGAGAACATCATCTTCTAAGCACAGCATTTAGGTCTGAATAGAGCTCATAGTGTACACTCTTGCACCCAGCCTGGATCCTCAGGAACCTTTCTGTGGATGTGGTATACTCATGCCCCCGGTGATCCTTGCTTTGTTGCTAAAGGTCCACACCAGAAACTTTTTGTAGAAGCAACAGAAACCCCCTCCTACTTGCTCTCGCTCTCGCTCTTGCAGGACAGCTGGTAGCCAAGAACTAACAAATGCAAGGGAGGGGTAAATAACCCAGTTCCTTTGCTTCAAGGCAAGAAAAACTCTATGGTACAGTTTTGTTCCCAAGTTTCCTGATGGATAAAATGAGGAAATTTGATTTCTCAAATGAGAAATCACATCTTTGTTCATCTCAGTTTCTCCTGCTCCTCAATCCTTCTTTACTCGCTCACTATGAACAACAAGCAACATCTGAAAGGAGATGCTTAATGTATCACTTGCAGAGCAACCCCCATCTCAGGTTCTGCCTCTAGGGAAACCAAAGTCAGACAAGTCTGTCATGGAGATACTACATATTCATGAGGAAAACTATATTTATAAAGAAAAGAACTGCACAGAGAAATGTACTGTTGTAGGGGAATTCAGAGCAGTCTGATTGGCGAGAGGTGGGATAAAAGAGTAACTGGAGGCCAGATAAGATGCTGCTCAAATTCAGAAATATTGGCTATAACAAACAGAAAGAACTTAAGAAAAATATGGCCTTGCTATAGAAAAGAATCAAATATAACTCTTTAAAGTTGTATTTCTTCCTTACAAAGCAAAACTTTCTTCAGTTAACATTGTCAGTGATATACCATGAATTTTGCTAAATACAGACAACATTGAAAAAGGCTGATATTATTTTACATGAAATGCTCAAAAACATGAAGAGAATTACAATGAGAAGAGGACTCTAAAATTCTCCCTATTTTAGGTCTCTGACTATCTATATTTAGGAAAATGAAGATAAGATTATGTAGAATTACCAAATGTTGGTAACAAGTTGGTTTTGTAAGTTGATTTGTTAGATTTTATACTTCAGCAGCTTAAAAGAATCTTTATTAGAGTCAGTAGCAGACTGCTTAAGTTGGAAATGCATAAAAACAGAGTAACATCTGGTTTTCATCTATTCTTATGAGGCCCAAAGTGTTTTCAATAGAAAATAAGAATACTAGGTCCTGGTTATAAAATAAGAAGCACAATGTGAAAACAAGCAGGCTAGTATGAAAACAAAAAAATGACACATAGCCCAGAAAAAAAGAGCTTAAACAATTATATACACATGTGATTTTAGAATGTGAGAAACAGACCATAATCATTTGTATTTGTTTTATTTTTGAGATATCTCAGATAAGTTAAGTTTCTTACATTCTTGGTTCCCTTTCAAGATTCATACATGGTACAAATGCCTATAAATAAAAAATGAACACTTCATTTAATTAGTAACAACTTTTATATTACATGTCTCAATATATAGAACAGAAGGATAATATTGAAACAATTGTTTTTGCAATAGAGTACTTTTCTCATTGACTATTTTTTATTATTAAAATGCATAGCTGATATTCATCAAAATGTAAAATACATATAAACATCAATTCAGCAATCCTACTGGAAGGAATTTCTTCCATAAAAACAAAAACACACACAAAAAAAGGACCCCAAAGAGAGAACTAGTTAGAAAGTCATAATACATTGAAGTAGATCTAAGTCAAAATCAAAATGTAAAAAAAAATTTTTATTCAACTAACTTAGTACTCATCCAGACAAGCAAATATATTTTACTCCATATAAATCCTTTAAATAGTAATCCTAGGACACCTAGGATAGCAGTGGCAAAGAACAGAGAAGCATTTCCAAAGTGCATTCCACAAAACTCTAGTCCCACAAGAGGCTCCAAGAAAAAAGATTCCATAACCAAAGATAATGGTTTATTGTGAACCTTTTTAAAGGTTCACAATAAACATGGTAATTTATGGAAGACTGTGAGATGTTTGGGGAGGGTCTTGACGGTGTTTTCCAATTTTGACAGAATACAGTGTACTTTCCATTATCATCAAACACAAGACTTGTTTAAAACCCTCCCTAACTATGACCAAGCTTCCTTTCTTATACACCTAAGATTCTGAGCTATCACTCAATCACCCTCTCTCCCTCCATTCCCTTACTCGCTTCCTTTAAACTAAGCCCAGGACACTTCAATAATTCTAACTTTATAATTCATTAGCATCAAGTAGAATGTAAATGTAATTCTTGGTGCTTACCTTCAGAAATTCTGATTCAACACAGGAATCAGTATTTTTAACATACACTACAGGTGATTTCAATGCAGGCCTAATGTTGGGATGTTCTAATACGTAATATAAAGATGACTATTTTATAAGTGAGTTCAAAATAATGTAAAAAATAATAAATTTTTAAAATCCAGCCTTCAAACAAGTATATAAAATTATTTGTGGCCAGGTAAGGTGTTACACACCTGAAATCCAGCAACTCAGAAGGCTGAGGCAGGAGGATCACAAGTTTGAGGTCACACTCAGCAACTTAGCAAGGCCCTCAGGAACTTAGTGAGACCTATCTCAAAATAAAAAATTAAAAGCAGGGGGGAAATGCTGGGGAATGATATTGGCCAAATTATATTGTGTATTGTGTATGTGTACAAAAATGTAGCAATACCCTGATATCAGCATGTACAATTATAATGCACCAATAAAAAATGTGGGGAAAAATTAAATTAAATTTCAAAAAATAAATTAAAAAATTGAAAGGGGTGGGATGTATTTCAGTGATACAGCATCTCTGGGTTCAATTCTTAGTACAAAAAAAATGTATTAAGGAAGAAAAACATGGGAAAATGATAAACTAAGAAAAGTTGCACACTTCTCAGAGGGGGACATACAATCAATCAACAAGTACATGAAAAAATGCTCACCATCTCTAGCAGTCAGAGAAATGCAAATCAAAACCACCCTAAGATACCATCTCACTCCAGTAAGATTGGCAGCCATTATGAAGTCAAACAACAAGTGCTGGCGAGGATGTGGGGAAAAGGGTACACTTGTACATTGCTGGTGGGACTGAAAATTGGTGCAGCCAATTTGGAAAGCAGTATGGAGATTTCTTGGAAAGCTGGGAATGGAGCCACCATTTGACCCAGCTATTCCCCTTCTTGGTCTATTCCCTAAAGACCTAAAAAGAGCATGCTACAGGGACACTGCTACATCGATGTTCATAGCAGCACAATTCACAATAGCAAGACTGTGGAACCAACCTAGATGCCCTTCAATAGATGAATGGATAAAAAAAATGTGGCATTTATACACAATGGAGTATTACTCTGCATTAAAAAATGACAAAATTATAGAATTTGCAGGGAAATGGATGGCATTAGAGCAGATTATGCTAAGTGAAGCTAGCCAATCCCTAAAAAACAAATGCCAAATGTCTTCTTTGATATAAGGAGAGTAACTAAGAACAGAGTAGGGACGAAGAACATGAGAAGAAGATTAACATTAAACTGGGATGAGAGGTGGGAGGGAAAGGGAGAGAGAAGGGAAATTGCATGGAAATGGAAGGAGACCCTCAGGGTTATACAAAATTTCATACAAGAGGAAGTGAGGGGAAAGGGGAAAATAATACAAGGGGGAGAAATGAATGACAGTAGAGGGGGTAGAGAGAGAAGAGGGGAGGGGAGGGGAGGGGAGGGGGGATAGTAGAGGATAGGAAAGGCAGCAGAATACAACAGACACTAGTATGGCAATATGTAAATCAATGGATGTGTAACTGATATGATTCTGCAATTTGTATACGGGGTAAAAATGGGAGTTCATAACCCACTTGAATCAAAGTGTGAAATATGATATATCAAGAACTATGTAATGTTTTGAACAACCAACAGTAAAAAATTAAAAAAAGAAAGAAAAGAAAAGTTGCACTGTAAGAGAATACCCCATAAGGGGCTAGGGTGGTGGCTCAGTGGTAGAGCACCTGCCTAGCATGTGCAAGGCCCTGAGTTCCATTCTCAGCACCACATATAAATAAATAAAATAAAATAAAAGTCCACTGACAATTAAAAAATTTTAAAATATTTTAAATTAAATAGGAATACACTCTAATATACTGTTCAGAATATTAAAGTAAAGAATTTTTTCCCCTACATTAAGAATTCTTGGCCCTTATAAGAAATTTCAGGAATACTTAAATTCTCTGAAACTATAAACTGTACACACAATTTTTATGAATATGCAAATACATGCCTTTGTGTGGAGAAATAATCCAGAGCTTTCAGCAATTCTCATACTGCTCAATTATCCAACTGAGTAGTTACTACATTTTTTATTTATCTACCTGAAACAATGATAACAGAAACTGCTTCTTAGTTAATGGCATGAATCATACATACACACACACAGAGAGAAAGAGAGAGAGAGAAACACACACACACAAATTCTTGAGTATCATTTTCTCTCTCAGAGCCAAACTTAAAACAATTTACCTTTGCAGAGTCATATTCAAAGAGCCGGTACAACCTTTAATCTTGTTCTGGGCCTCGAGATGAGTCATTCCATGGGCGCTTATTCCATCAATGCTGAGGACCACATCGCCTATTCTTACATTGGCCTGGAAGGCCTTGCCGCCATCTTTTAGCTGTAATAAACAGATGTCATTAGGAGCATCAATCTTAAAAAAACAAATAACAGTAAAGGCAGATTAAAAATTATATTTTTCTTATATCAAACATATGTTAATATACTTTTAAAATAACACAAAAAATTATACTGCTTATCAGGTAAAAGCCCAATGATTTTTACATATTTCTTAAATTCTTACTCTGTAAAAAAGTGAAATAATTTTCTGAGAAAGGTTCCTGATAATTTCTCTATTTCTTTATTATGCAACAGTAATAGGCGATTTTTATGAATGAGGAAGAGAAGTAGTCAAGGAAACTTCACATTTTAGCAGAAGAGTAATCTAAATGGACTTTTTATACTCTTTTAGAACTAATTTTTAAAAACTCTTTAAACAGCTGTATTTTTGTTTGAGCACAGACACAGAGGGAGGATCTATTGAACAGTCCTTCCTGTTGAGTCCAGTTCATATCCAGTGTTTGGGGACTGAATTCTTTTAGATCACAGGCCCAAATATCTTTTATACTGGGTGTGCTTCCTGCTCCAGGCTTTCAGCAGAAGTGGGAGGAAACTCATATCTGAGACTTTCAGACTTCTTTGTGTTTCACAGTTCTAAATCCCCCATCTTTTTTCTATGTATTTACATCATTTAGCTTGAGCTCCTTTCAAACTTCATGTGTATATATTTCATTGCTCCAAATCAGCAAGTATAAATAAAAGGGAAAATGATGTGGTTTTCATAGATACCTAGAAATATGAAAAAATACAGATCAAAAGAAACTATTCTAATTCAAATGACAAACTCTGTATTCAATAAGTATAAACAGATTACACTGAATCTAGAAGATACGTGAGATGAGGCCCAGGAAAGGAAGTAACCAGTATTCCTCTAGTACTTGAAACTAAAGTTTCTGTTTGGGATGATGAAAGTGTTCTAGAAATAAATAGTGATGATGACTGCACAACACTATGATAAATTCAATTAATGCAACTAAACTGTACACTTAAAAATGATTAAAGGAGTTAACATTTATGATATATTATATATGTGTGCATATAAGTTCTAAAAAGAACCTCTAATAATTTTAAGAAACACAGCAAAATTCTTTTAATTTTTTTTTAGTTGTAGATGAACACAATACCTTTGTTTTATTTATTCTTACGTGGTGCTGAGGATTGAACCCAGTGCCTCACACATGCTAGGCAAGCACTCTACCACTCAGCCACAACCCCAGCCCCAGCCCCGGCAAAATTATTTTCTAATTAAAATAGTAAAATTACTTTCTAATAAAAACAACACAAAACAAACCAACCCTCAGTTCACTGAACAAGAACTAGGTGCTGAAAATTAATTTAATAATTTCATAATCTGGAGGCAAAGCAATAAATAAAACACACATAATGCTCAGGTAGGTTTTGCTACCCTTAGCTGTCTAATTCTTCTCTTAAAAACAATGATCAAGCTGGGTGCATTGGTGCATGTCTGTAATCCCAGCAATTCCAAAGGCTGAGGCAGGAGCACTGCAAGTTTAAGACCAGCCTCAGCAACTCAGCAAGACCCTTGGTAACTTAGACCCTGTCTCAAAATAAAAAATAAAAAGTACTAAGGATGTAGCTCAGTGATAAAACATCCCTGGGTTCAACCTGCCCTCTTACCATAAATAAATAGATCATCATCATCATTAAGGCAGAGCAATCCAAGTACACAAGAACAAGCATTTAGATCTAAAAATCAAGAAAATAGTATTGATTGCTAGACCCATGGAGACAAGTACCAGGACTGTGTTTCTTCTGCACATTACAGACCTTCACAAAATATATGAATTTTACTAGATGACTTAAATGATTTTACTATATTAAATAATAAGTGGAGTGTTATAATTAGTATTTTATTATTTTAAATATTCAAATATTTGACTTGATACAAAAGACTACCTTTCTCTACTGCAAAGAATTAAATTGTTTAAATTGTGAATATATTTTTAAGGAAAACAAGTCCTAAAAAGTCAGCTACGGCTATCATTTTCCACGTGACTGCAGGAAAGCCATTTCACATACATTATAGACTGTTATAATGATTTCATGAGATAATAGCTCAATAAATGTTGACTATTATCATTACCTCAACATCAGATTACTATTCTGAGAAATATGGGAGCTGTCCTAGATGATCTCAAAGGCCTTTGAAGGTTCCTGCCTTCTTTAGAAGTCTCTGTGTGAGCTAATTCTAAAATTAAGAGTCAAGTCTGAAAGAGTTCGTTGGTGAGACAAAGCAACATCTATTCCATACTAAAAATGATGAAATAAATTAAAATCTGGAGTCCTGATAAGAGGAAAAGTAAAACATCATAATTCATCTTAGGTTTTATAATTTATCTTAGATTTATGAGTCAGAAGGGCAAGTGCACACACATGACCCCCCACCACCACACACACACAGCAGAAACAACTACAACCTCCCTATCATCTCACCTCATCACATGAAAAAGTCTTAAAATAGAAACACTAAAGCCTATAGGCATTTGCTCTAAATGTACCAAACAGAAACATTTTAAATATTCCCAGTCTGGGGGTAACAAAAAGGTAACAAACAATGTAGGAAGAAAATAATTGTAATCCCAGTAGCTAGGGATACTGAGGCAGGAGGATGTTGAGTTCAAAGCCAGCCTCAGCAATGGTGAGGCAATAAGCAACTCAGTGAGACCCTGTCTCTAAATAAAACACAAAAAAAGGGCTAGGCGTGTGGCTCAGTGGTTAAGTGCCCCTAAGTTCAATTCTTGGTATCCCCCCCTTCAAAAAAAGAACATAATCACATCAAAGACAATGCCATAACCAAACTTTTTAACCTCTTTTGCTCCAGTAGTCTACTACTGAGATCCTATCATCTCATGTTAAAGACTAACTTCTCAGACTTATCTATTTTTCTAGGACTATTTTTTTTCTGTGACCCTTATTTTCAGACCATGGAGCACAGAAATCCTATATAGCTCTAACTCTTTCTTGGGTCCCATATCTAGCAAAAGTAGTAAATTTTGTTTAGCCTTCCATTCCTCTTTTCTAGTCCTACCCTGATTTTTCCTATTACCTACTTGCTTACCATCAGAGTTTTCTTTTTCTTCTTCCTATTTTTTCCCCTGAACTTAGGATTGAACCCAGGGGCACTCTAACACTGACCTATAGCCCTAGCCCCTTTTTTTTTTTTTTTTTTTTTTTTGAGATAGGGTCTACATTAGGTTGCACAGGCTGGCTCGGAACTTGTGATCCTCGTGACTCAGCTTTCTAAGTAGCTGGGAGTACAGGCGTGTACCACCACACCTGGCATCATGAGAGTTTTCTAAAGACCTTCTCTAACTTCAAACTTTATAAATTCCTCTTCCTTTCCTCTATCTTCACATTTCCAAAATGGTGGCTGATAAAGTTTAGATATGGTTTGAGTGTGTCTGCCAAGGGTTCATGTATTGATATCTAGTCCCAACTGTGAGGCGTTAATTGGGTAGAAAATGAACTCAACTATGGTGTCTGGAGGTAGGGCCTCTAGGAGGTGATTACAATTAGATAAGGTCCTGCAGCATCTTGGGACTCTGCAGCAAGAAGGCCATCACCAGGTATGGACCCTCAACCTTGGATCTCCAGAATGTGAACCAAAATAGACCTTTTTATACTTCACCTGAATTTGCTGAATTGTGTTATTGGCCTGATACAATGGCCCCACTACCAAAAAGACTAGAAAGTTCTATTCATGTCAATGCCCTATTTATAAAATGGGGGTAGAAAAATTTCAAATGCCTTCTGCTTCATACCATATAGAATAAAACCAAAGTCTGAAATACAAGCCATCTATAATCTTTTATCAATCTGTTTCTAATTTCAAAATAAGCTCCATTAAGTTCAGTGATCTTGGGGCTGGGGTTGCAGTGCAGTGATAGAGCACCTGCCTAGCATGTGTGAGGTACAATGTGTGAGGTACATGTGTGGGTTCAATTCTCAGCACTGCATATAAATAAAATAAAATAAAATAAAGGTTCATTGACAACTAAAAAAAGGGGAGGGGGTCAGTGATTGTGCTCATAGTTTGCTCTTCTTAAAGAGCCTTGAATATTGTATTGAATTGTATTATACTGAATTTTTTAGAAAAATATTTTATTAGATCTTATTAAGTAAGAAAAAAAAAATCAGCTGGGTATAGTTGTGTATGGCTATAGGCCCAGCTCACCTACTCAGGAAGCAGCGGCAAGAGGGTCACCTGAGCCCAGGAGGTTAAGGCCAGTCTGGGCAAATAGTGAACCTCACCCCTTTAAAAAAAAAAAAATCAATAAGGAAGTCCATCAGTTTAATACACTAAATTCTAGTAGAAATGCTCTTAAATTCATTGGACAAGGAGAAAAAATAGGCTCTGATCTGAAAATCAGAATCTTAAATCAGGTAGAAATGATCTAAGTATGGTCAAAAGTCAAACCTTATTTTGTTACATAGAACAAAGTAAATCTATTTTGGACAGTTGATAATGTGTGGTTTCTAGGACTTCTAAAGAGGTGCCACAATTTCCCTTGGTAACTTTATCTAACAAAGATAAGGAAGAGTATAATTCAAACAATTAGTGGAAATGGAAACAAACGCCCACTGACATCTGAACAATCTTTTACAGATTTAACTGCCACATAAACTTTTTGTTTACAGTTCTTTGAGTATAGTAATATTAACCATCTTGGTTTTCAATACTAAGAAGTCTTTTCTTATGTCTAACCATCTTCATTAGTCTCTAGCAAGGATTCCTACTCACCTGAATTAAATTTAAGGGCATGAAGAGCCTGAACTATGCAGTGGGAAATGCCTGATGCATAGAAATAAATTCACGACTTGTGAAAGGGGAGCACACAGCTCACTGAACACTCCCCATAAGCTTCATTTATTCCCAGAACAACTTCCTCAAGCTGTTCACTCATCAGAAAGACAAATGTTTCTTTTCTCTTAATTAGGTAGTATGCAGCATTATTATGAATTGTGAGCAGCCAAGGAAAG